TTTGATTATCTTATCTCAATCTCATATGTTGGTTTGTTTTTATGAAATCAGACAAGATAAGATTTCATTTCATAACAACCATTGGTTTATTTCTCTGATTGACACATTCTCCAAAATCAAACAAGATTTTTATTTCATAACACAATCATTGGATTGGATTATCTTATCACAATTTAGTTATGTTATTTGTTTATATTTTCGGTTTAGGTCTCTAAACTACCAATGTTAAATTTCATCAAATTTTTTTTTATGAATTTTCAATCTAGAAAATTAAACACAAAGCACAATTTCTAATCAATAACACAAAAAATAATCGTTGTTTGTATATGTTTTCTTAATCAAACAAACAGTTGAAAATAAACTCTTTAAATCCTAAACGGTTGAAAAATCATGTTTTGGAATTAAAAATGGAGCTCACCCATTTCTAAACTAAAAAAACAAAAACAAAAACCAAGACTGGGCTCTCAATTTGGTGTGGTCCCCCTATTTTTTGGGGCTAGATGTAGCCTAACTTCTCGCTACCCAAGGATTGAAGTTGCTAGCCATTGTGGTGGATGTAGCCCCATTTTCCAGCCCATTGGCGTTAAAAAATTTCATTAGAGCTACAAATATGGTAGAATCAAGGAGGATAAAACCCCCATTAGGGATGCTCTTACCATATTAAAGCCCTTCAAGACAGAATATTAGCAGCAGATGATGCTGTATGGATAGAAACGATACTTTTTGCAGTCTGATCTCAGAACAGTTCTCATCAGCTTTGCAAACGTTCCTGATGTTGGTTTGATATGCATCCACGCTCAACAAAACGTAACATTAGGTTGTCAGCCTCTTTGGAGTTTCCGTCTAACATCAGTCTCTTGGTCACCTTCTCACATAACTTTAAATCAGGAATAAGGTTCTGATTGAACATTCAACAAGCCACTTTATATGCTGACAGAGGATTCCCTTTTCTCAAATAACCATCCATAAGAGAATGGCATGTCTTGGCATCAACTCTTGAAGCTGTTCTCAACACCTTACCTAATAGTTTATCAGCCTCCTCAAGGTTCCCAAAACTACAAGGCTTCTCAATCACTTGATTATATGCTGTTTTGCAATTTTGCCTTAAGAACATCTTCTCCAATAATTGTAATAACTCGTCCACCCTACGCATTTGACAATACCATGTAAACGTATAACTTATGAAAAACTAAATCACAATACCAACTTAATCACTTACCTGATGAAGACATTACTGCTTTAGTTAAAAGGGTTCTTCTGCAACTCTGCACTACCGGATACAAGGCTCAATCAATGGGGCTTGAGTATCTGAAATCTTGTGTCCTTTGTGAGAGCGCAGGGACCCTAGCTTTATACCATAAACGATGGAGTTCAATAAGGACACTTCCCATTATGTAATCCTTATCAAACTATCTTTATCACCGTGAAAACTCTAATAAACATAACAGATAATAAAGTCCTAGTTCTATCGAGATTGCTTGATGCTATTATCCTTATTATACAATTTCTGATAAGCCATTCCACGTAGCTAATGTTAGTCTCCTTATTATTCCAAAACACTTTTACACGATAAACAAGGGTTTGCTCTCTATAGAACTTACATACCAGTGTATGATTGTCCTGTATGTTACTGGAGTCGGATCCAACCCTTTACTCAGCAATTTCTTCATAAGTTCAGTTGCCTCTTGTATTCGACCATTCTTTCCCAACGCATTGATCACTGTTGTATAAGTGACCGTGTCTGGGTGTTTGTTGCTGAGATACATGTCATCAAGCAATGACAAAGCAGTGTCCAAGTCATTCTTTTGACAATATCCATGAATCACAGTTGTAAAATTTACAACATTAACAGCACATCCCTTGCTTAGATATTCCTCCATGAAACGTTTGGCCTCATTTATCTTCCCTTCTCGCCAGAGAGACTGAATTAGTAAATTAATTTCAACTGGGTATGGGAAAAAACCCTTATTAACCATCTCTCTGACGATATCACAGGCCTCAACCAATTTCCCTTCCCTCCGGAGACCATGCATCACAACACTATAAGTGATGGCATTCGGAGTCCACCATTCTTCCTCGCTCGTGCTCATCATCTCACTTGCCTCTAATGAGTTCTGACTACGACAAAGCCCATTTAATAGGGCTGTATAAGAGACTGTATTTGGCCTGCAACCATGCTTGTACATGTGTTGAAGCATCTTTTTAGCATGATCCACCTTCCCCAGTCGGCAATACCCATCAAGAACAGCAGTGTATATTACAACATCTGGAGTGCAACCTTTTTAGAACATTTCATTCACAATTTCTTTTGCCTTGTCAATCCTACCGTCCTTACAGAATGAATGAACTATTGCACTATACCCAACCTTATCAAACCAATATCCCCTCTCTTCAGCTTCCCTTAAAAACTCAAGAGCCTCGTCTCCATAACCATGCTTAGAAAGCATATGGACAAGATTATTATAAGTGACCTGGTCTGGTAACAATTCACCGTCCTTGATCATTTTCTCCATCAATTCCCTCACTTCTTTGACCCTCTTCTCCTTACAAAGGAGAACCCATCACAGCATAGTAACTAACTTTATCCGGTGCACAACCACTTTTCAGCATTTCATCAATCAGCTCCAATGCATCCACAACACGATGCACATCACAATACCCCTTTATCAAGCAATTGTAAATGACAACGTTTGGTGTAATCCCAATAAGTTGCATCCTTTCCAACACTCTCAAAGCCTTCTCCAACTTATTCCCCATCACCAAAACATGAATCGCAGTGTTGGACATTGACACATCAAGCTCAACCCCGGCTTTCTGCATCAACGTCAACACACGCAATGCATGCCTCAACTTGCCCGCCCTGCTATACGACACCATCACATAACCAAAAGCCTCAGGGCTACGCTCAATTCCCCTGCGTGCCATGAGCCGGAGAACCCTCTTAGTACCTTGACACAACTTAGTCTTGCTAAGCACCTCAAGCATTGCATGGTACACAACTGGTTGATGCTTATACCTCCCCTGCCTATCAGCCCAATAGAAAAACTTCAAAGCAACTCTCTCATCACTCTGAGACTTCAACACGGTGCAAACTTGCCTCCGCTTCAAGCTTTTAACAAGTTCTTTAATTCCCCTTCAAGCTTAGGGTTCCAACCGGACCTAAACTCAATCAACCTACAAACCTCTCTCACCAATGGGTGCCTAAATTCCTTTTCATCTCCTTCAACTCTCCGAAAGTTTTCGCCTTTCTCGTGAACCCGACTTGACGAATCCAACACCGTTAAATCCGCATCATCCCCATCATCCCCATCATCACTATCATCCACTACCCTCTTCTTCTCCACCACCAGACCTTTCAATGTCATAAAAAAATACCAAATTTTTTGCTGTCATCACTCTCACAATCACTCTTCCTACCTCCCAAGAAACTCAAATCCCCCAAAATTTCAGACCCCATTTTCCTTTCTCTATCATACCCATGATTTGAATCATCAAAACCAACATTGTCAAAAGAACGAGCTTTGAATTCAGAGCTAAAATCAGAACCTGGGTTGGAGTTTGTTGAGGAAAACGATGAGGAAAATGTAGCGAGAGCTCGGAAGAGGTTAATGGTTGCTCAGAAAAATGGCTGGTGGGCTCACAGGCAAGTGCTTTCCCGGTGGAGTTATGAGGTCCGACGAGAGTTCCAACAGTTCTAAAGCAACGGCTACGACCACAGAGCATCGCAGTTGCTGCAGAAGCACTGAAATGTGAAGAAAATATGAACGGAAACAATCTGAGACGATAGATTTGGTCACTGAAAGCCTGAATGAGACAAGAAAATGGTGTTTCATTTGGGTGTGTTGCGTGAACTGAAGGAGAGAGGACGAAGAAAAGGAAAAACGGCGGGACGGCCGAGACGACGGCGTATTGATATTGGGCTATATTCTCAACCCAGGCCCGTCTGCAACAACATCCGTATTGTTTTGAGCCCATTTAATCTCAACCCACACCACGTTATTTGTGATTTTTATTCTAGTATTTAAGATTAAAATCTCTTAATCTCCTTCAATAATAATAATAATAGTAATGTGTCATTGAACCCACCATCATAAAAATTTAACCTAAGAGCTCTCACTAATAATAAAACTAAATAAAAATGACAGTAAGTGGTCCAGTAAAATTGCATTAGAAATTCAAGTCAGGTTTGCTCCTCGATCTTGAGTTCGAGGCGAAGCCCACAAAAACATAGATGATTTTCTAGTTGAAAGATTTGGAAGGAGCCATGTCATTTCACTGTAGCGAGATGAGAGTTAGGGCTGGTTTGGTATTGTTATACTTTGAAAAAAAGCTGTTGTGAGAATAAATGGTTGTGAAATAAATTAGCTGAGTGTTTAGTAAACTTTTTTGTAAAAGTGCTTTTGGAAGAAAAAAAGCTGTCTGATAGTGGGTCTTTTCATTAAATGAGCACTATAACTCTATGTGCTTTGAAAAAAAAAGCCAGTTTTCCAAAGCTGCAAATAGCAGCTTCAGCTTGTTCCTTTGATTTCAGCTTATTCTCACAGCTTTTTTTCATGGGTGCTTTTTTTTTAAGCACCTCACTCCCAAACCACCTGTTAGTCTTACCCTTCAAAGCACCGAATACGGAAAGGGATTCTCTCCGAATCCATTCCACCAAATCCACCATATCAATTAATCTGGGCTCTTGAATTTTGATTCAACGGTTAAAAACAAAGGATATCTTTAAAAATTATAATAATTTTAATCGTTAAATCAAATTTTAAAGGTCCGAATTAATTGATGGGTGGGTTTTGCGGAAGGAATTTAGAGAGGATCCTTTTCCGCCGAATACCTCATGCTTTAGCAAAATATTAAATTAAATAACACTAAACCTAGAAACCAATAGATTCCGACCACGTAGACAAATGCCCAACGGACAAAACCGTCAACATCTCCCGGGCCTTGTCGCCTCTAAATATTTCCATTCTTTTCTTCATTCCCTTCTACACCACGTCTCTGGCTCTCCCTCTCTCTCTCTCTCTCTTCCCCCCCCCCCCCCCCCCCCCCAAAGACTGAAACCCTTGCCCTCCGGGTAGGAGACCCCAATGGCGGCCGAGAACCACCACGGCGGTCGATCGGCGCTGATCTTCCTCGGCACCGGGTGCTCGAGCGCCGTCCCCAACGCAATGTGCCTGATCCAGCCCTCCGATCCTTGCCACGTCTGCGCCCAGGCGCTCTCCATCCCCCCGGACCAAAACCCTAATTACCGGTAAAATTGAGCTTTAGATCTTCCATTATCTGCTTGTTTGTTTCCCGAGAACGTGAAGGAAAGTGGATGGAAAATCAGCATTTGAGTGATTTGTGTGTTGCAGGTGCAATACGTCGCTTTTGATTGATCATTGCGGAAGCGATGGTAACCACAGCTACATATTGATCGATGTCGGAAAGACGTTCAGGGAGCAAGTGCTTCGCTGGTTCACTCGCTATAAGATTCCCAGAGTTGATTCTGTGAGTTTTGTTTGTGCACATTTTGGTTTGACTAGTTACGATTTTCGGAACATTTGGCCGATTAAAAACAATGTTTTAGAGGAATGTATGTATGTTTTGTTTTGACTTGGATACTTGTAAAAGAGTTCAAATTTATTTTCGCGATGTACATTTTCTGTTCACACTATGAGGGATTCCGGAAAACTAGAAAGAAAAGAAATTGGTTTTGTTTGGAAAGCAATGTGGTGTGGTACAGTGCTGGGATGCTTGCTTTCTATGAATGTGATCGCTCGAACTTCATTAGGATGCCAGATTGGGAAGAGGTAGCTTCATGGCATGAGTGTAACTTGTTAAACTATCCGAAAGTTAATAGCATTTCGCAATGAGACTGTAACTTGTCTTTGGGAGACGAGAAAAAATTTATCATGTGAAAATGGCGAGTCATTTGAAAGTCGGTTATTTTCTTTAGCGACTGTTATTAGTATCGGAAGCATCATAGATTGTAATTGCAGTTTGTATGTACAATGAATTGTTGTGCACTAGAAGGTCCCTGTAATCATGATGTGCATGAAACTTGGTAAGACTTGGGATGGAACGAGAAAGTGTTAGGAGTGTTGAAGAGAGGAGTGAGTAGTTGACAGAAATCATAAAGTTAAACATGATAAAACAATGGGCAGTTGAATTGCCCAGACTAGAATCAAAGATGTTTCTAACATTAGATAATATGATCGCTGTTATGTCGAAGTTTTTTTTTTTTCTTTGGCATTTGAAGCTTGTAAATACTGGGAGTTTAAGAACTATTCTTTGTCAACTGCAGATTATTTTGACTCATGAACATGCTGATGCAGTTCTTGGTCTGGATGATATACGTGCCGTTCAACCATTTAGTCCCACAAATGACATTGATCCTACTCCCATCTACCTAAGTCATTATGCAATGGAGAGGTACTATATTTTGGGTGAAGTTGGATACTGTTCTGTTAATTGTTAAACCGTTTGTTCCAAAAGCAAAGTGTGTTTGCTTTTTTGCGTTATCTGGATACGGTTGCAATTAGTGCAATACTTGTGGCCGTATGATTCTGACGTGCTCTTGGTATTTTGTTGCTCCATCTCATTTGATAGAAATAAATCCTTAGTATGCTTACATTATAGACTTAAAACCTAGGATTTGCATAAGTAAAAATGTAACTGTGGATGTCATTGGTGAGGAAATAAAGGTCGTACCCAGTGCACAAGGCTCCCGCTTTACGCAGGGTCTGGGAGAGGTGAATGTCGGCTAGCCTTACCCCCATTCATGGAGAGGCTGCTCCCAAGTCTCGAACCCAAGACCTACCGCTTATGAGCGAAGGCACTTGCCATTGGCGAGGAAATAGTTAAAAGAAATTACTCTAGGCATTATATCTGATATTTGTGTCTTTCAGTTTATGTATAATGCAACTTATTGTGCCTGCTGTACCTTTGAATAGCATTGCAGTGAAATTTCCTTACTTGGTTAAGAAAAAACTTGCTGAAGGACAAGAAGTGAGACGGGTAGCACAACTTGACTGGAGGATAATTGAGGAGAGTATTGAAACACCGTTTCTTGCGTCAGGCCTACAATTTGTTCCTTTGCCAGTTACTCTCATCAAACCTTTCTTAGTCATGATATGAATATCCTATTCCTTGTTATTCTTCCAAGTTTCTTACTGCTATTCCTCATATGTAGGTAATGCATGGGGAAGATTATATCTGTTTGGGTTTTCTATTTGGTGAAAGATGTAGAATAGCTTATATATCTGATGTTTCACGCTTTCCTGCAAGCACAGAACATGGTGAGCCTAGGTCCTTGCACTTTATGTATATTTCCTATACTTTCAGTGCATTTTGTGAACATCTTAGAGTGTTATTTCTGTTTACTTAGTTAGGAATTTTATAGGTAGAAATAATTTCTCAAATGATTGGGCTCAATTGTGATTAGCTTTGTTAGATTATTTGATGATGAGATTTTTGAGATTCCCTTCTTAGAACACCTTCCTATTAGCTGAGTTGGTTTTGACCTTTGTACTCTTGAATTCACCACCAAAGCTCTGGGAAGACCCTTTACAGAGGAGATTATACTGTCGGACATTTTATCATTTCCATTTAGATTATACTTTGTGAATGAAATTGGAAACTTAAGTAGTGGCAAGGATGACCGTCCGTCACCTTTTATAAGAAATTTTTTTTTTTTAAGCGAATCTGTTTGGAGATTGTTCCTTATGGAAAAGCATTGTGTAGAAACTTTCTTATCCTGTAGTAGGAAAAATCAGTTCTTGGCATAAAACGCCTTTCTTATCCTGTAGTAGGAAAAATCAGTTCTTGGCATAAAACGCCTTCCCAAGAGATCTCATCGTTTGAACATGCCACCTTACTGGTTTCATCGTTGTTTTTGTCACTTGTAAATTTGTAATTCTTGATCTTCCGTGTCATTTACAAAGCATTCTCCGTGTCTCTTATTTTTATTTGAAAAAAACCATACGTTTGAATATTGCAGTTATTTCAAAAGATGGAGCTGGACAGTTGGATCTTCTTATCTTGGACACACTATACAGGGTCAGCAGAAAGTCTGTTCGCTCATCTTGTGTTTCCTGTTATTATTAAGGCATATTCTTCATAATCTGCTTTTCCTTTTGTTTCATCGCAGACTGGATCCCATAATGTTCACCTTTGCCTCCCACAGGTTGGTTTTATACACTAAAAAATATGTGCGTTTCTTATAGCCAAATGTTCATGGCAACGAACTATAATTTTTTGCAGACTCTTGAAGCTGTGAAGAGGATTTGTCCAAAAAAAACCCTTTTAATTGGAATGACTCATGAGTTTGATCACCACGTAGACAATAAGTTTCTTAAGGAATGGTCTGAGAGGTAAGAATTTTGATCGCATTCCTTTATTAAAATGGATAACAGTCCCAGGGTTCAGTGGCATTAATCTTCTAGCCTTAGAGTTAAGACTAAATTGAACCATGGTACTACTTTTGTAATTCACTTTCTGTACAGGTAAGAAATATCGTTACTTAAAGAAACTTATGCTTTCAACTTTTCTGTTGTTTTCAAATAGGGAAGGGATTCAAGTGCAGCTTGCGCATGATGGTTTGAGAGTGCCCCTAGACCTATGACAAGGTACGAGCGCAATCTTTTAACTCTTTTGTTTAGCCGTGGAATTTGTGAATTTTGGTACAAATGCAAGTACATTGTTGCACTTGGACTGATGTAAAGAATATAATACGAGTCATATGACAATTTTGTGTAGTTTATTTCCCTTCTTGTTTTTGGTTAATTTCTGTTTACCCGCTCTCTTCTTCATAAGCAGCATTGTAACTCTATTCCTGTTTCTCGTTGAATCCTTTCTTCGCATTCATCTTCGAGTCTACAAGTGAGTTGAAATGAGAGAACACAGGATAGTGGGATTCGAACTGAACAGCGTTAAAATCTTTTGAACTAATGGATTAATAGAATTGGAAGATTCACAAAAACGCTCATTCTCTGTTATGTTTTACGTGCAGGTTAATGTTGTTGTGTGTTAAAATGAATACACCATATACAGTTTTCATCCCCATGTTGATGGGAGGAAAGCAGATGCATGTGATATTCTTGAAGTCCATATTTTTTTATTGTATCAACCAGTGTCTCTGAAGAGGTAAAACAATCTTACAAGGATTTTAGGACACTTACTTTACTTCGATGGAAGATGGAATATTTACGCTCACCAAACTTGTATTTTTACGTTAAAACAGTGTGATGTTAGAGCATTTGATATATAATTGAATAACAAACTTAGCTACTATACTGTGTGCTAGCATGTGGTAATTCAAGTCAAGTCTGTATTGTCATGCGTTTTAATCTTCTCACAAAATAATGTGTAATTGACAAGGTTCTAAAAATCGCTAGGCGCTAGTCGGGCGGCGGGTTGGGGCCTAGCGCCTAGGCGGCTAGGCGGGCGCCTAGGCGGACTAGGCGGATTTAAGTAAATCTATCATATTTTATGTAAATAAGTGTCTGCTTCTACTTGAAATATATATAATTTCATCATAAACTACAAAATACAATGCATATATATCATGAAGTATTGGAACATAATGAAAACATGTGAAATAAGGATATAATGTTTGTTCATTCAAGTATGCAACAAGTCTCTTACAATTTATTGGAAAAAAACAAAATGCAAAATGAAAGTTATGTATTTTCTGTCTAAGTGAGTTGCAACCTAGGCGGGTCTAGGCGGGTACCTAGGCGGGTTAGGCGGGTGCCTAGGCGGGCTAGGCGGGTGCCTAGGTGGTCTAGGCGGTGGGTTGGGGCCTAGGCATTAATCGGGGCGGTGGGTTGGGGCCTAGCGCCTAGGCGGGGCCTAGGCGGAGCTAGGCGGGGATTTTTAGAACAGTGGTAATTGACGTGAGATCCGTTGTATGGAAGGCTTCTCGTTTGGTTTAGGTTTTGAAACTCGAGCAAAATGATTTATTTTCAATGCCATTGGTTTTTCTCAAAACAGGACTAGTTACCGGAAGTAAGGGCTTTCAGGAATCTGGACCGGAGAGAATTGTCCTTGGCAGGCAATTGACATCTCCTTTTTTCTCAATTTACTACAAACTAGCCTTCATGCACGCGCTCACACACGTGCAGAAGACATTTTTGAATTACGGCGTGCTAAGCGTGACTTAGACGTTTTAAATGTATTTGAATGCATAAATTGACAAAAGGAAAGTCAAATATTTGAAGTAAATGAATAATCTTAGATCATGCTAGAAGAAACCCCTCATAAACCAATTAAAGCAACTGAATTCACATAATAAAATTGATCTTTATAGAATTTGCATTAAGAATAGAGAAAATAATATTTAATAAACAATTGATTGAATCACGTTATTGTTAGCCCATTGTGAGACTAAGTCCACCCCTCCTCTTTAGTGTAGATAATATCGTTTGTTAAAAAAAATCATTTGATAACTAATTTAATCACATTATTATGCGCGTGCTAAAGACATTTTTTATAACTGGCATTTAATAAACAACTGATTGAATTACATTATTGATAACTCATTGTGAGGCTAAGCTCATCCCTTCCCCTTAGTGTAGATAATATTGTTTGTTAAAAAAAATCATGTGACAACTAATTTAATCATATTATTATTCATGTAAGAAAGACTTTTTTATAACCAGCAGTACACCCCTCTTAAGATGTTCTGAACGTGTTTAAAATAGAGCACATAATATCTAATAAACAACTGATTGAATCACATTACTGCTAGACCATTATGAGGCTAAGTTCACCCCTCCCCCTTAGTGTAGATAATATCGTTTGTTAAAAAAAAAACAATTATTTGACAACTAATTTAATCACATTATTATCTACGTGCGAATGATCTTTTTTATAACCAGCATTACACGCAACTTAAAATGTTTTGAATGAGTAAAAAAATAATTATTTGACAACTAATTAATCACATTATTATCCGCGTGCGAATGACTTTTTTTATAACCGGCATTACACGTCTTTTAAGACTTTTTGAACGTGTTTAAAAATAGAGAAATTGAATCATATTATTACTAGCCTATTGTGAGATACTAATTAAAAAAACACACACACACACAAATTAATTATTAAAAAATACTATTAAAATGACAAAAATACCCCTACCTTCTTTTAAGAGCATTTTTTTCTAATTATTTTTGTTGAAACTTGGTGACATCAAACATTATTCATCTTTTCTTGTCTCTTACGTATAATAGATTATTGACGGTGGTTTTGAATCTTGATCATTTCAAAATTAATCTTCTAATTGACCAGTCAAACCCATTGACTGCCAAATTTCTCGAACCAATCAAAATTTTCATTGATGACGTTCTTCCTCTTTTGTGAAGGAGGAATGGAAGGACCACCGGAAGTTATGACAGCCCTGAGATTTTTTTAATGTCCTGAAAACATGTTAGGGATCGTAAAATAAGTGGTTGAATATTTTTTTTAAACAAACAATATCATTTACACTTAGCGGATAGGTGATAGGTTAAATCTCCTAATGAACTAGCAATAATAAACCGAATATATGACATTTCATTACAACTAAAAAAGAATATCACTATATTATAGTACTAAGTCATGCAATTGGTTGAATATTTAAAAGGAAAAAATGTAAACAATTGATTGGACACTAAAATATCCTGCAACCACGCATTTGTTAGCCCAATCAAAACATGCCACTTGTGCGTGAATTGCGTCAAGGAACACGTCATCAGTAGTATATAAAGTTTGTTGAAAGAACGTAAACAGCTCACTACTTCTTCCAACAACAAGATCCTGGAATTTGTTGACCCTCCAATACCAAATTACCAATTATTTTCTCAATAATATTATTAATATAAACAAGATCTCACGCATGTCTTTTTATTAACGGTGGTGATCGAACTACATTTAATTATAAAAAGTTTTAAATTGACTCATATATATATATATAGCACAATAAATTTTGATTTTGTGGCTTATTATAAGCGGTGAGAACTTCTTATTAAAGTTTCTTATATATATATTATCGTTTATTAAAAATAAAAAAAAATCAATACCCCATTAGATGCTTGATGTCTGCTATGCTTTTAGAACTCAAAAAAGTTTGAATTTTTTTCTGTCAAAAATGTTATTTTTTTTCAATCATCTGCTTGTAGTTTTCATACACCCTAAAACTAAAATAACAAAAAGGATTTCAATATATATATATATATGCATATATCACATATCTTTTATCTTATTTTGTATGTTAGATTTGGACCACAAAATTTTCAACATGTACAATCATCTAGAAATGGTCAAAGCATGCACAAGACCAACAACTGCATGTTTGCTATGCTTCCAACTTCCAAGTTTATTTTTATTTTTTATTTTTATTTTATTGTTATTATTTACTGATAGCCATCCTCTTCTCCGTTTCAAAACAAGCCAAAGAAGACCAAACACAGAGACAGCGATACCCCTTTGATCAAGTTTCATCTCTCTTCCAAGCTTTCCAACCACCTCCATATTTATTAACACCACATTTTCTCACACTTTCTCGGCGAGCTTTCTACTTTCTAGTCGCCTCTTAGCTTTCTGCTTTTCTTTTTTCTCGCAAACCAAACAGAATATAAGCTACAGAGAAAAAGAAAAAAAAAAAAGGAGAGAGAGATTAGAAATGGCATGCTTTGTGCCTTTCAACAGTAAAAATTTAGACATAAGCATCTTCGTGTTCAGGCCAACAATTGTGTTGGTCGATGACCTTCTTAATGCTCTCAAGCAATTCTCTTTGTGCACTGAGTCTCTTGGTTGTGTTCAAAGTTCAATCTTGCAGAGTATCCATGGAAATATGGTACGTATATATTTTAAATATAAAATACTTGTTTATATTTATTGCTATAATTCGATCTTAATTAATCGGGTTGTTCTTTCTCCTTGATCATCAGTTCATATGGTTTGGAGCGTGGCTGAAGAGAACATGTGAAAACAAAGATTCATTGACTGCACGCCTTGTAAGTCTAATTCCTGTTAATTACTCACATCTTGCTCCTATATATTCTCTCCTTTCTTTTCTTTTTATTTTCAGTTTTATTCCTTATCTCAAAACAGAAATCAAGCTCTCTTTTTTTGTCAATAGCTAGGAGGTTTTGAGGGGGTTGGGGTGGGAGTCTTGAATCCGGATGAGGAGGGCCACAACGGTGCTTGATTTCCACTATATGGCACAAGCCTCCTCCCGAAATTAAGCTCCTTCCATTGAACTAAACTTTCTAAACCTCCATATTTTTCGAAACAAAGACTATAATAATTTATATGTACTTTCTTAGCTTGCAAAGACTGTTCCTTTGTGACCGTGTTCAAGTCGTAGAAACAATTTTTTTATAAAGCAAGAGTAAAACTGTTTACGATCCGTAACCCTGACAAAACAAGAGTTATGTTAACATGCGGTCACCTTTTTATATAAATGATGTGTCAAGTACTGTACCTGAGGTTAAATTTCAAAGTAAACCTACCAATGCTTTATCAAAAAAAAAAAAAAACAAATTTACAAATCCAATTGCAGAACGCTTTATTGGAGGTTTAATGTTCCCATGCAGCTCTCAATGTTAGCGAATATATCAAACATGGCTATCTTAGTCGATCACTCCTTCTTCGACGCGTATGCTGGAGAATCGAGAGACGGTTCTTCTGCAGCGAAATTTCGCAGAGGTGACACGGTGTCACTGAGCACTGCCCTCATCTACGGTGGTGACATAAACAACGTCTCTTACGCATGCTTAGCGTTGTTCAAGTCCGGTTTTCAAAGGATGCAAGGCGCGACAGCCGGTGTTTGTTTGAAATGCCAAACCGGGCAAAGAACTGCTTCTCTCTTCGTGTGGAAGTCTCTGCAATATTGCTACTCATGGATTCTAAATTCCGACCAAAGAAAAGCATTGTCGCCCTATCTCGAAAGCGTCTCGATCGAGATTAAGTACGACATTTTTCGAGTGGTCTATGTCAGCGGCGACAGTGATATCGACTTGCAGGTCTTATATCCTCGTCATCAGATGTTAGAACAAGCTGGAGGCGAAAGCAAAGAAGAAGGGCAGCTCATGCAAAGTACTTCCATAGTATAATTAAAACTGAACTGAATTAATATATGATGAGTGTATTATATGGCCATCGATCATATCCTTTTTTTTTTTTTTTGTAAGCCTACATATTTATATATAAATAATATATATACACGATTGTTACGAACCCTTTTCTCTTTAACTTGCAAGGCAAGCAATACGTATATTGAAGATGGATACCATAGCTAATTTTCACAAGCACGAGCTTATTAACACAGCTATGCTTTCTGGAAGAACAATATTTGGCTTCTTAATGCTCTCGCTCTTAGGTTAGCTCAAGTGGTGAGGAAAAGGTGGGGATAATGAGTTAGGATTATGGTAAGTATAACGTTTAATTCATTCCAATGTAATAAAGAAAAATATTCAGTTTCTTACATGTAATTACATGTCATCGATTATGCTACAAGCACAATACAATTTTCACACATTTGAAGAGTCGTGTGACATCAATGTGCAAACTGTTTAATTAGGGGCCCAATTAAAAGCGGGCCTGCCAATTTAAAGGTAGTAATAAGTTCGGTTTGGATCTGGTATGCAGATTAGATTGTGTTAAATCTGCATTTGATGCTGTTAGCTGGGATAGTCAAAACTACCAAGCTAGTTCGTGACTTTTCAATCATTTTAGGACCCTACTGGCAAATCTCATGAAGAAATCATGATCAAACTAACAAATTGTCAAACTTTCCAAGGCAAATCACCTTTATTAGGTATCATATCCTTTTGCTTTCTCTGTCCATCTCCAAGAAGCTAATGCGTGCAATGAACTGCAAAGGCCCCCAATGCATGGTTATAAACTTAGAAATGAGAAGTTCCTTTTTTTCTTTTCCATCTTCAACGAGAACCACATCCAACTTTACGATCAAAATAATAATTGCTTTGAAATACTTATGCTCATAACCACAACTAGAGGTACTTTTAATATAAACACGTTAAGTTTTTCCGTTAAAATTTTAAATGTTTCATGAAAGAGTATACTTGAAAGTGGAAGCATTTGGCAAGTGCTTCTTCAACCAAAATCACTTCTATTAGCCAAAAACACTTCTAAGACTTTTAAACGCAGATATAAACACTATCAATGACTATAAATAAATAAAAGTTAAACCTTATCCATTAACAAAGTGCTTTCTTTTTTTATTTTTGGACAAAAAACAAAGTGCTTTACATATAAAAACAAAGCCATTCCTCTACAACGTGGAGAAAAAAGTGGCAACTACATAGGGGACCAAAATATAATAAAGCTAAAGGGTCATTGTGCCTTTTGATTCAAATAGGGTCAAAACAAACATACCATTCACTGCTACAACAGGTCTAACACACTCCCTCGTAAGTTTGTTCTTTTTACTATTAAATCATTCATACCGCAATATGTGCAACTATTGATGCCCTCATTTTCTATGGACTCCCATGTCGTGTGTGTGGGTGCTTATTAGGTCTTTGCCCAGGACTTTAAGTTCTACAACCAAAAGTTGGAAAGAAGTTTGAATTATGTGACTAAAGGAAACCTACTACTCGGGTCTTTTATCTATAGAATATGAAATATGGTTTATTTTTCTAGCCCAAAGCTAAAAGAGAAATGCTAATTAAGGAGACTCTAAAAAATGAAACCACAATATTTTATATTGTTGTCACAATAATCAACCTTAAACTATGAAGTGCGAAATAATTCGTGATGAGTCTCACAGTTAAGAGAGTCTAATTAGCATTTATCTTTTTAACTTTGAGCTATTATCCATATTTCATATTCTAAATATAGGCAAAAGACCTTTGTACTAGCAGTAGTAGTCAATTTTTATATTGCACCCCAGTTTCCTTCAGCCGCATAATTCAAACTCTTTTTCCAACCTTTTGTTGTAGAACTTGTAGACCAGGCCAAAAGACCTAATAACCCCCACACACGACATAGGAGTCAATAGAAAAAAGCTTTAGGTTATTAGGGGAAAGACCTAATAACCACCCACACATTTACCATTTTGTGTGCTTAATTATGGTTAATTAACAGAACTAAACTCCCCAAAAATATAGTACGATAAAAAATCACGAGCATAAAAATTACAGCATCGGCGGACGATAAAAGGTGCCGACAAGAGGGGGGTGATAGCAAGTTGTCTTGCCTGACCCTCGTCGGAGTTTTAATGTGGACGGTTGGCTTGTCCACAATATTGAATAACAAATTGCAGTGTTGCAATCAAGTATCCTTTGCTAGCTTGAAAGGTTCAGCCTTTCCCTAACCCTTCTTAGCTATACCCGCTTCATATTCCTCTCTAGCTAGCTCTCTGTCAAAGACATACTCAAGGCCCGATCAAACAAAATGCTATACGCTCATTTCTGCATGTACAAAGATATCAAGGAGATAGATAGAAAAGGAGGCGGTAAGAAATGACGAAATGCATGCAAAATTTTTAAATTTGAATTGAATATCGCTTGAATAAAAAAAAATATCTAACTAGTTAGAACTTAACTATATATAATTATTGTAATTCTGCACAATCATATCCAATATGAACATCAAATATTGTTGCTAGCTGGTACAAAATATAACGAAAACAACAATAAAGTTTTAACTCACTAAATGAAGTCTGCTGTATAAATCCTAGAACACCACTGAAAGCTCAAACATTTTCAATTAAAAACTTAGGAAATTTGCAATCACAACTAAGATATCAAACACATGATCTGAGTTTGTAGTTGATATATGAGCAGAAGAAGAGAAAAACGGTGGGAGCCGACTCATTTTCTGTTGACTTGGCATGTGGAGAATGTGGTCAGAGAGAAGTAGGCTACTAATTAAGCAACATTTTTATTCTAATCTTTCGAACATATTGTAAGTGCCAAGTGTTCATATTCCATCCATGGATGCTTGCATTGGACCAGTTGACAAGGAAAACAAAACATGTGAGTAGGGTTACAAGTCACAATCCATGGATCGAGCAAATTGCGAAAGAGTAATGCCAATTACAAACCCTGCGTGGAGAATGTTTCTTGATGAGTTACAATCGTAGGTGTAGGACCCCCCATGAATATAAAATAAAGTAAGGGAGGAACCCCTTACTTTGCCTCATAGGACTTTGAGCACTAATTTTTTTTTTTTGTAAAGTAAGAAGTGTTAAGGGAGTAAAATTTCACGCAACATGTTTCGGACTCTATTTTTTCGCTAATTATTTATTCATATTTTAATAGAAAGTCCGAAACATGTTGCGTGAAATTTTACTCCCTTAACACTTCTTACTTTACTCCCTTAACACTCCCTTAACACCATTTTCGCAACATGTTTCAGACCTCTTGAATAACATATTATATCGAGGGTGTTATTAGGGAGATTAGATTTTTTAAATCAAATTTACAAAACAAATAATGTGGTTGTAAATGATTGAATTATTAATTACGTATCGATTAACGTGCTTATTTCTGATTGGTAACATATCATTTGATTTATAAATTTAATTTAAAATTTTGATCTCTTTAATATTATCTTTATATCAATAACACAATGCTACAACATTTCCAAATAACAACGCATCATTGAGTTATTGATTTAAATGTTACCCTTGCGAAACAGAAGCAGAAGTAGTTCGCTCTTGCTCTTGATTGAAAATTAAATTGAAGAAGTCCAAATTTGTTATAGAAAAATGAAAACAAACCGTTTGTAGTGAATTTTTTTAAATTGTGACATAAACACAGAGGATGCATTACGTTTTTTTATATAAATAGTGAAAAATTTTAATTTTTAAGTTATTAATCTTTTAACACATATATCTCACTATTTATATAAAGATATGTGATGTATCACCTCATTTAACGGTGATACTAAAAAATCTTTCGTTTGCAGTGGGATTAGGTACATAGAAAACAGCCAAAAAAGAATAGGGTTTGTGATAGGGTTATAGAATTCTGAACCCTACAAACAACCCCAATGTAATGACCCGTCTGATCGAACTGACGCTGTTCATTGTTCATCATCAACATTATAGTAATGGGTCCTGGAGTGGTGCATGTGTATACCAAAAGTATCTTTTGACACTTTGACTGCTGACCCCACCCCTCATCCTAATTTTCTTATTATTAGCTAATTGGGATGGCGAAAGTAATAATATTATACATTTTAAGAGAAATTTAATCAAATTGTGTAGATCAAAAGATGTGATTGTTGATAATTAAATATTCAAATGTTGATTAATTTTTTTATTTTTTATTAGTAGTTTGGTCCTTCTATTATTATCTTGGGGTATGATATCTACACATCTCATTTTACTTCTCATATATTTTTTTAATTTTTGATCGTCGAATCAGATGAATTGAAGAAGATCAACAGACATAAATTATCAAATGGTGTGTGAGAAGTAAAATGAAATGTGTGGATAACACACCTCTATTATCCTTTAGTGTGAATTTAACCTCCACAGTGGCTCATATTAAATATTTAACCCAACGAATGCGGTTCTTTCTCAAAAAACACATCTTTTTTAATATCCACTATTTCCACTATATTATGCCGCTAATATGGAAAATACTTCAATTCCAAACAAATTCTCTCTTAGTTTTTCTTCAAAAATCTTATGAAATACTAATTTTTTTTTAAAGGACATATAATAATTTAGGATATAAGTTTGAAAAAACAGTAGCAGAATGTCGTACAGTTCTGTAGAAAATCTTTTGCTAAATATACACATAATCTGAGGAAGGTAGAACAAGAAGGTAAGACTGGCCATCCAATTATGAATTGTACGGATGTAGACATCATGCTGTCACCATCAAGGTTCAAATATTTAAGGAGAAGGATTATGTTCCTTATGGGTGCGTTTGGTACGTGGGACGGGACGGGACGAGGCGTTCCGTCCCGCGTTTGGTGCGCCAAAAATGGGTGGAACGGGCTGTTCCAAGGGATAAATTTTGAGTGTTTTTGCGTTCCACCTCCCCCCTGGAACGGGTTTGTTCCACGTTTGTGGAACGCAATGTTTTACAATTTTAAGACAAATATACCCCATGTCTTTTTCAAAAATTACACCTTCGTTCCGTCCCGTTCCGTCCCGTCCCGTCCCGTCCCGTTCCGTTCCGTCTGCGTACCAAACGCACCCTATATTCCCTCTTCTTACCTATCACCTTTTATCTTAATGTCTTTATAAAAAAAATTAATATAAGATGTTAACATAGTTTAACCGTGATCATTCAAATAGGGAATGAGGGAAAGAGAGAAAAATTAGGAGGGGAAAGAATATTTTTCCCAAATATGTATTGTGATTATTAATATATTTTGTCCAAACTCTTAATGACAATAACTAGTTAAGAAGAGTGCTAAATAAATCTAAGATTATTCTCACGAATGTCATCAATCATACATTATATGGTTCACTCATTTTTCTTATTCTTGTTTTATTATGCAGAAATTGTTTGATTATTCGTTCAATCTATGACCAAGCTACGTGGTGAAAAATATAGAT